ACGAGAGTCACTTCGTTTCCCTACGGTGTCGAGGGCGGTATGCTCTTGTTGGTGTCCGTGGCTTGCACTTTGTAAATGTGCAGGACTCGCCCTCGGCGGGCTTCAGAAGCTGGTGGCCCTGCAGCCCTTGAGGGACACTTGTGAGGCCATTCTTGGAAGGAAGGATCAATAGCTCCCAAATGTAGGAAAAGTTGCTCAATCTTATGCACGAGAGAAATGTAAACATTTCTTAAAATAGCATTTTCCACACACCAGTGGCAAAGATGAAGGGTGGCCAGTACCCAGGGTTGAGTAGGGTCTGGGGACCCAGGCACCATTTTCTACATAGTTGGTGGGAGTGTCAGTTAGTCAAACATTTTGGCAGGAAGTTTGTTGATACCTCTTAAAATAAATGAAGGGCATCCTCCTCTAGGGTCTTCTAGAAATTTAGCCTACAATTATTTTCACATATGCTGTTTGAAGTGGCAAAATTTGAAAATTGTGTAAATCACCCTTAGCAGTATAAAATAAATACATTATAGTACATGGAATAACAGAAAAACATGGGTCTTCGAAGATGAGCAGAGTTGAGTCACGGATGCTCCTGTGGAGCCATGTCTGACACCGAGTCAGGTGAAGGACGGTGTTCAGTTCTCCTTATCTGTCACAGAAAAACCTACAATAGTGTTGGCTCTGGGGGAGGGGCCGGTCCCCTCACTGTGAGGATGGCTGCCACGGTGCCGTGGGCGCTCGCCCCAGCCTCAGAGAGCAGGCCAGGGAAGGAATGCTACGGAACCGTGTCCTTTAAGAAAGACTAGGATGTACTACTGGTTTTCGGGATGAAGGTGCCCAAGGCCACGCCAGCAGCCCCGTGGGCTCCCGCTCCACCACACCAGCCCAGCGTCTGAGCCTCTCCAGCCAGCCTTCCTAGGTGAGCAATGACTCGTGCCATCCAAATATGAAGGAGCGTTAAGCTGAGGAGGCTGGTGGGACAGGAATGGTCAGAGGAGCCCCACTCAAAGTGCAAACGTTGGAAGTCAAGGCTCTGGAATGAACCACGCAGGAGGTGGGTGCTGGTGGTGAGGTGGGCGCGACGGGGCTCTGCCAGCACTTGCGCCGCCCCCATGGCGGACACGACGTTCTCCACCCCGCGCAGGGCTTCTGCAGCCCTCGGTCCCCAAACCTCCTGCTGTAGCTCGTTCTCTCTGTTTTCGATGACACGCGGCCTTTCTGCCTTCCTCCCGGTGCCGGGACGTTCATTCTCACAGCGCTCGTCCCGTGGTCTTCATCTGTGAAGTGGGCACGCGTCAGCTCCCACTGCATGGCTTCTGGACAGTGGCTGTTACACAAACCGTCAGTGATGCTCATTCCGGCCTCATTGTCTCCAAGGATAAACGGGATGCAAGGGTCATAGTCCTTACCTTCGACATGGATGCAGATGTATTTTTAAGAGGCTAGTCAGCACTGTTTTCCTGAATTACGTTCTCTATTCCTTACGTCATAATGGAGACAGCATTAAGCCAGCTTTTCCCCAATATCCACGCTCCCTGAACTCAGGAGAGAAGTGAAGGAGAGTGCTGTGGATGGGCAGACGTGCCCTCACGGCTGCTCGTGGCTCCTCCCTCTGCACGTGCTCTCACGCCTGCTTCACGGCAGGCTCCTGGCCATCAGTGACTCTCAGGACAGTGACCTGCTCTTGGCATCTACAAAGCAGCTCAACTTCTGAGGCAAATGTGATATGGAAACAGACCTCTTTAAAAACTAAATGCAAAGGTGATTCTTGACCTTACCCACAGCATTCCCCCTTCACATACTCAAGACGTGACAATGTTTCTAACAGTTTCGTAAGGTCAGCTGCACGGGGTCCCGTGTTTCTCGGAGTTCTGCACTTGGCCCTGATTCAACACTGCCAAGCTCCCATGCAAACATTTCTTCAGAGACCTGCCAGGTTCCTGATGCAGCTGCTTCCTCACAGTTCTGCTCCCAGCTGTCCTGCCAGTGCACGGCGTCCCCACTCCCCACGGCTCCAGGACCATGTCCGGCCCACATCCACTGCCCTCTCCCTCCGCTCGCTGAAGGGTGGGGTCCATGAACCTGGCCTCCCAGGACCCCGTTCTCGAGCGGACCCCTCGATGCCCCAGCAGGGCAGCTCTGATGCCCCGGGTCTGTGCAGGAAGACCAGCTCCTGGGAGGGGCCAGAGAATTCCTCTGTGGTTCCCTGCCCCGGCCTCTCCTCTCACGTCCTGACCCCACAGTGTCTCCAGGCCTCAGTCAACACATGCTCCCCTGACTCACTTCTCGGGGGGTTGTCCACCCACCCGGGGCCCCTTGACCAGGGGTGTTAGTCAGGCCCTCCCCTCGGGCATGTGGGGCTCAGCCTCTTCCCCATGAAAGCTGCCTGGGAATGAGTGCCGAGGGTCATCAGTGATGTCACCACGGAGTAATGGCTTGCGACCCCCACTCCTGACCCCCCATCAGCAAAGCCCTTCTTCCATGCAAAACCCCGGGCCACCTGTTTCCTCTCGGAGGGTCCTGTCACTTGCTGGGTGGAGCATTTATTTCTAGAATTCTATTCCTATGGCTTTCCAGGCAGGAGATCACAGCGCCTTGCACAGGTAGCCCAGGATTCTACTGCGGAGAGTGACCAGATCCAAGGAGGCTGGGGTCTGAGGGCTCCGCCCCCAGGTGAGCTTCACCCTAGGTCAACCTGCTTTCTAGGTTAGCCCTGCCTCCAGGTTCTAGATCAGCCCCACCCTCTGGTTCTAGATCAGTGCCCTCCCCCCCAGGTCAGCTCCACTGTAGGTCAGCCCTGCCTTCTGGTTCTAGGTCAGCACTGCCCCCAGGTCAGCCGCTCCTGACAGTACTGTGGCACGAGGGGTCAACATTTGGCTATTTAACTTCCCATGCCACTGATTGCTTCAAACACGCTCTCCATCCTCTGCTGAAGACAGCGCTCCCATCTTGTACCCTGGCCATAGGTAACTCAGCCAACTCCCTTCTGACTTTGTGGGGCGCTCCTTGCTTCCGCCCTGTTGTCCAGATGTAAAGAGCCTTGCCGTGGATTCCATCACACCTGTAAGTTAAGATGTCGCATCTGCATGGCACACTCGTGGAGGAGCTGGTTCCTGGGATGTGCCTGGACCTCGCATAATTTATCTGATGGTCTTTGAATCCTTAGCATGTAGTTCAGGAAGATCATCATGTAGCTGTCTGATAAACATGAAAGTTTCCTCACGGAGGGTCGGGCTGATGATCACCCAAGAATTATCTTCCTTGTCGCCTTAATGAGTTAGAAGGTCAGGCATTCCGGCACGTTCTGAGGTTGTGACACGCGTAGGTTTCTACAGGCTGTGCTACGGAGGGAGGGGGCCCTTCGTGAACCAGTAAGGAGAGTGCCACTTCCTGCTGACCGGGACTCCGTTCTAACCACGGCATGCTCTGTGGCCTGCCCCGTGAGAATGGACTAATGTCAGGGCCTAAAAGATGAGTCCCTTAGCGGGTGAGAGTTTTTGTAAAAATGCTGAGTTGTTTGCTTATGCCGTGTGGCTCCAGGCCTCTGGGCTCTGCACCCGTGGAAGTGCTTGGGATGAAGATAAGCACAGGGTGGACAGAGCTCCTGAGCCCGTCTGTCATGTGGGGTCAGAGGACAGAGAGTCAGGACTCCTGCATGAGCAGAAAGTGCTCAGAGCCGCCCCCCGCACACACACGTAGGTCGACTGTGCACAGACCATGTTTCTACCACGGGGTCAGGATGTGAGAGCAGAGGCCGGGGCAGGGAACCTCGAAGGAATTCTCTGGTGGCTGTGGTGTGGGAGCGTGGGAAGGGGCAGGTGGATGTGGCGAGACGGTGCGAGCTCGGAACAGGGAAGGGGCCTCACCAGATACCCACGCTGCTGTGGCTCCTGGATCTTGGGCTTCCAGCCTCTAGGACTATATAGGAAGCACGTTTCTGCTGTTCAAGCTGCCAGTTTGCGGTGGTTCCTTATGGCGGCCTAAGTGGACTAAGCCGTTGGGGGCCGTGGTCCAGTGTCACCAGCTTATATTGTCGGTAAATAGACATATAAGGAAACTTTCCACAAAAAAATAAATGTTTAAGGACCACAAACACGACCCTTGGGGCCTGTTCCACATTGACACTTGGGACACAGACTGGACGGGAATGTTGCCGCCACGTCACGGAGCCACGAGACGGGCTCTGCCTGCCATCCCCGAACACTCTGTCTCTAGGAGGAGAGTCATGGCCAACGGCCTGCTGCTTTAGCTCTGCAACCACGAAACAGTGGACTCGTGCGGCCTGAGGGTCCAGGAGCGTGGTGTTCTTCTGCCTTCAGGAGACAGCAGTGAACAGGGCGAATTATGAACGTCTCCCTTAGTAAAATCAGACACGCACGCGTCGCAGGGCAGCGTACCACCTCTCCACGCGCGGCCCTCCAAGGACCACACTGGGTTTGGGGAAGACAGGCCAGGGAGCCAGACAGGCAGGAGCAGGTGTTTACGGCAGGGCCCCCCACAAGGGCTCTGAGCCCCCACCTCTGCCCCCGTCACCGTTAAGTAGAAGCAGCAAGTGAGGGACATCTGACTCCCCAAACCACGCCGTGAGATCTGCAACGGAGAGAAGATGCCACGACGGTCTCCTGGTCAGAGGCTGAACGATGGCAGTGCACACAGTAGGCGCTCACCAATGTGCATTCCACCAGTGAAAACAGAGTGCCCAGGGCAGAATCCCACGCGTGGTTAGGCATGTGTGCGGGTGCACATGCTCACCTCACTTAACCGGGAGGACGGAATCGGCGGTGCCCTGACACTCTGGGCTTTCATCCTGCCGGTCAGCTGCCCGCCCAGGTCAGCCTTGGTGGCCGGCACGTTGTTGCTGACACTTCTGACACAGGCTGGGTGTGCGGTGGGAAAATCCCGGGGACGTGTGTGTGGGTGGGAGGGCGCTGTGAGTGCCCCCTGCTCTTGCTCCCCTCCCAGAGACGGTCTGAGCCGCGATTCCCGACGGAGAGGAGCTCGGGCCTTACCAGGACCATGTGGCCGGTGGAGATGTCCATGTTGGACCGCACAGGCTCCTCAGACCAGGACGACGTGCTGCTCCGTGCGGACGGGCTGGGCACCGGCCCTTCGCTGAACTGGGACGAGACGCTGTTGATGCGGGACGCGTGCGGGGCCTCCGGGCGCTCCGATGTGCGCACGGCCATGCGCTGCCGGCACAGCTCCTGGGAGACAGCGAGGGCAGGTTAGTACTGCCCCCACGGCCCACGGCCTCACCTCCCAGCCCTGCCCGACCTGAGAGCCGAGGGGCAGACAGGGGTCTGCCCTGAGGCCATGCGCACGTGCACACACACACACGCAGATACTCCACACATGCACGGGTACACGTGCGCACACACAGATATCACACACATGCATGGATGTAACACAGCCACACGCAGATACACCCGTGTGCACATACGTAGTGCAGGCACCACACACACAAACGCGCAGATCCGGGGAAAGGGCACTGGACCCGCTGGGTGGGGACGCGGGACTATCTTGGAATGACGCAACGTGCCGGCTGAGCTAGCCGACCTTCCTTTTTTTCTAGAATACCGGTCACGGACAGGGCTTCACACCGTGCTCTGAAACTGGTACCATGCTCAGGTGTTCAGGAAAAAAACAACAACCTCTGTTTGGTTCTTCCCTTTTTTCTCCCAAACAACACCCAAACTGATGAGAGCTCACACGAGAGAGGACAGATAAAATCACATGGAAAAAGAAAGTATGTGGTTTAATAATGGAAAAGGATTTGCTTCTCTGCCTAGACCCCCAAAGACAAAGTCTCTAGATTTAAAGGAAAACCTCAGTATAACAGCCGAACAGAGCTGCTGTTGGGTCCCTACAGGGTCCTGGCTGACCCCACGCAGGGCAGCGGTGTTTGAACACGCGGGTGGGGGCAGCGCTCAGAAGCAAGGGACCCCGGTGTCGCCGTGCACTAGCTCCTGGCTGTCACCAGAGAGTCGGCCAGGACCGCCCCCCCCGCAACTTCTCACTGGCAAAATACCTGCATCCTGAGCTGATGAAGTCCAGCCTTTTGCCCCCTGAAACAATCACTGTAACCTGAGCCACCAAAATAAAATGATAGCAAGAAAAACTCCGTAAGAGACTCTGAGCCAAGAGAGGAAGTAAAAATGCATTCACGGGGAAAGATGCTGGTGAGCTGCATGGCTGCCAGGAGCTCCTCCCTTCCCTGGGGGTGGCACCCGGGGGGTGCTGCACCCCGCTGCCCCCACCAGCTCGACACGCCCCAGGGTGCTGGCTAAAGCCCACGGAACCCTTACACGCGTTCCTTATCCTTCACGCAGCTGCCCTTCTCCTTGGTGTTAAAGACCTTCATCAGGCATCTGCCACCATAGAGAAAAGACCCCTCTCTCAGCGCAGCTCCCCTGGGAGGCACAGCTCGGGCGCCTGGAGCCAGACGGTGCGTACCACCCAGCACAAGTCCGCAGAGGGGCCCCTCCACCCGCCAGAGCAGCGGGTCTCACGGAGCAGGGCTGCGGGCATCCCGAAGAGACAGGTGAACTTCACACAAAGGGCCGCCGTGCGGACCACGGAAGGGAAGAGGGAGAAAGCCAGGCTGCACCTCTGCTGGGCCCCCAACGTCCTCAGGGTTTGCCGGCTCACGCATGGTGCTCAGACAACGGTTTCATTTAAAAAACCCAGCCAGATTTGCTCAAAATCTTAAAAACCACCCAACCAACCAACCCCAGACACGGTGGGTAATTCTAACCAGGTATGTGGTAATAGTAACCACTTCTTTCCCCTGGATGCACGTGGGATGTTACTTAATTTTGGAGAAAGCATACCAAATGACGTTTCTGCACCAGCTGCTATGGTTTCACATAGTTCATCTGCAAGAATAAATAGTAGCTCCGACCGAAGCATAAAGACAACTCTAGCATCGGTCAGGAGAGTGCAGAATGTGTCCCCCGGGAAGGAGCGCCTTTGGGGAGGAAGGTTCGGGATGGTTGAGATTTTGTCACTAAGAAGCAAATGTCACACCAGCTAGGGTCACACCAGCCAGGTGACCGCCCTGCAAATGTGTGGGGGGATGGGAGGATGGCCACAAGCCCTGGATTCCCGTTCTTCCCTCTGCTGGTGGAGGGGAGTGTGCACGGCGGGCTCCCATGCAAGGTCTCAGAGCTCGAGTGTGTCCACTTGAAAAATGGAAGCACCAGTCTCGTTACCATAAGACGCCCGTGTGGTGCCCACTATAGAGAAAGTCTTCGGTTGTTCATCAGCAGATATTAGTGCAATAAAAATTAAAAATCTCTAAACCAGAACAAACTCGCAGGGGCTCGGTGAGGTCAAAGGTATTTCTAAAGAAAGCTCAGAATTTTGGAGTTGAAGAGGCAGTAATCGTCCACGCAGACCTCCTCGTCTGACAGGTGACTTTGTGGCTGACCGGACGCGCTGCAGGGCCCCGTGGGGCTGCGACCTGGGGCCGAGCGCTCCGCAGCGTTACTCAGTGCTGGCACTCCTTGTAGGTCTCTTTAGAAAAATGAAATTCTCAAAAACAGAAGGAAGGTTCCAAGAAGAAACAGTCCCCAGCCTGTATCCAACGGCAGTGCACAACCCCCCTCCCCAGGCACCTTGGTTCGAGAGTGGCCCCCCGATAGTGTGGCCGTTGCCTGAGTGTAGCCTAGAGTGAGGGCACTGCTTGGGGAGGGCCCCTCACCTGCAGAGCTGGAGTGTCTCCGAGGCGAGGAGGCCCACGGCCTCCACAGAGAGGCCAGGCCTCTTCCGTCACACCCTTACACCCAGGTAAAGGTAGGCGCCCCTGCCCGGGTGGACCTTGGCGTTGGGCTGACTGCTATCCCGTTTCTGCATAATGAGCATACGAGCCGCTGAGACAAAGGAGTGTCTGGAGGCAGAGGTGATGACAGGTTTACTGACAGGAAGGTTAGGTTGGAAGTGGGTTCTTGGGTTTGGAGTCACTGTGCATTGGAGGCCTGTGAGGCCCCCGCCTCTGTGGGCGGCTGGCTGCCCGTGGCTCTCTTTCCCACCTTTCCCAGCCAGGGGGCTGTTCTGGGCTTTCCGAGGGCTGGGAAGGGGCTGGATGCCAGGGAGATGTGCACAGCGGGGTCTTCAGGGCTGTCCGAGCAGAGACTCCGCCTAGAAACTGGGGCTCAGGAGACCCGTGCTGTGACACATTTGCCTTCTCCTCCTCCTTGGGCTCCAGAAAATCACTCCCCTGCTCCAGCACCTGAGGGATAGTGCCTCACTCTGGTCCTGGCTTCGGCACCTCTGGGCCGTGTGACCGCGGACAAAGCACCTAGCCTCTCTGAGTCCTGGTTTCCTCATCTGTGAAACCAAGCCCGTGGTTCCTGGGAGGACTGAGGAAGATCACGGGCTCAGAACTCGCCCTCAGCACCGCCTGGCCCATGACTAGCAAGTACTAAGTCGCTCAGCTCTGGCTACGCGCATGAATCAGTCCCAGGCCCCAGGAAGGACTGCAGAGTGGGACCCGCGGGGCCCTGAGCCCCCTCCACTCGTGGCCCAGCCCGGAGCTCCCACGACGTCTGCGGGGTGTTTCGGGGGGATGGGAGCTGGCGGGCGGGGGTCTCTGGGGTGAGGCGCTGCAGACCTGCCGGGGTCGTCTGGAGGGAAGGGAGTCAGCGGCCGCAGTGCGGGAGAAGAGGGGCCCCGCGGTCGTGCTCCACTGGGGTCAGCTGTCCTGGGAGCACGAGGTGGAGCGCCGGCCGTCTGTCTGTCTGGTCGGCAGTGCAGTTGTTGGCGTGGTTTTCTGCGCAGTTGAGGCTCCAGGGGAAGCTGCCATCCACAGCCCACCCGTGCCCACCGGCTTCCCACGTGTCCAAAGAGAATTTCACCTGCCGTTTGCACCTCCCTGCAGCCCGGCCGCTGCTGGGGCGCGAGCTCGCTGACTGAGGTTCCTACGGGACCAGCTCTCCATCTCAGGGTTTGCTCCGGCAGCTTCTGTTGTGCTGGGGTCTGAAGGAGCAGCTGTCCTGTGACCTTGGGCAAGCGGCGTGCCTTCTGCCGCCTCATCTTCCTATCTGAGACGCGGGAAGGGACGGCGGGCAGGCCCCACATCGCAGGGTTGCTGCAGGACGTCTCACTAACATAAGCCGTGGGCTCACGACGAGATGAGGGTGCCGGGAGGGCATGGCCCCTGCTCCGCGGACTGTGGGGGGCAAGCCCCGGCTCCCGGGGTCTCCCTCCAGGCCGGACACAACGAGGCCATGCCCGTCCGTCTGGGACAAAACCAGAGGCTCCTCACAGAAACGCCCACTGGGAGGGGACACACACCAGCTCGCTGACTCTCGGGGGACCCCGGCTGTGAGCCCCCACAGGTGGAAACTTCATCCTCCTCTCTGCCCCGCTGCCCTCTCTGAGGAACCACCAGAGGTCCCTTTAATTAGCGCTTTCAGTTAATTAGGGTTTGTAAAAAATAATAGAAATCCTGTATTCTGACCTGTCTCTGTGTTACTACTTTAAAATTGAAATTTCCTGAGGACAGCCAAACTTTTTAAAAGACAAGATGTAGACTGCAACCTGACTCAGTTGTGGTCTGGTCAGAGTCAGGCGCAGGGTCAGGGTCAGGGTCTGGCGCAGGGTCGGGCCCCGGCGCAAGGTCAGGTGCAGGGTCGGGTGCAAGGTCAGGTGTGGGGTCAGAGTCCTGTGCTGTGCCCACCCTCTCAGCAGAGCTGTCTGGGGAGAGGGAGAGTCTCTGCCCTCCCCCCAGACCAGAAAGTTCCACGGGCCTCTAGGCAACACCACACCCTTCATGTAAAAGTCTCATCTACACCTAAGAAGGCAGTCGCAGTCCACACAGAGACACATGGAGGCACGACCCCTCTGCCCCCTTAGGGGATGGGTTGCGCATAAACACTTATTTAGAATGTAATTTGAAGTTTGTAGCGTTAGTTCCCAGTTACCTGGAAATGCTATCAGACCCCAGCGCTCCCTGCCTTTCCCCCCCTGCGTTTACCGTCCGGCTCGTGGGGGGGCCCACGCAGGAGAGAGCAGACTGGGTGCTCCGTGACAAACACCGTGTCACCGAGCGACAGTCTGTGACATACAGGGCCGTGGCCACCCATGGGGAGCGTTTCACTTGAGCGAAAGCTCGACAGACAACGCAGGCATGCTCTGGAAGGACTTGGAGACCAGCCCAGGGCCTCCTGAAATTTCTGATTTATAATCCTGGCAGCAAGCAAAA